AGTCTTGTAATATTTAATAAATATTATTATATAAACAGTTTTTTATTTTTATGTTTTTGTTTATTTAATAAAGACATTCATTGACCCCTATTTAATTCAATGCACTCAGGAATCTGTTTTTAATGATAAATGATTATTAAATAAAATGTATTAGAATTGCACTTGTTTATCCATTTAGAAAAAGAATATAATGTCTTGAAAGAGAAGTTTATTTCCTTAGATAATATATAATTTTATTTTCTCTGGAGTAATGTAGCCTGCATAAGTAGGAGACAGTTGACTAAGTGCACTTTGACCTAAAATGGCGATAGTGCACTTAAGATTACTTCAAAAGTCTGATCTCTTAAAAAAAACAACTGCATACTTCTGAAGAAAATCTAAGGAACTTCACCAGGCTCAACAAAGTGGAATGAGGATAAATGAGTCTACCGGAGCAGAGATCTGCACATTCACAAATGAGATGCAGAGGAGTCTTGCCAGCAGATCTGCAAAAGTGATAAGATGATGAGGAAGAGTTTCAGTCAACACAGATGTTTACAAAAGTGATCAAAACCAGTCACAATGCCAACCAAAAACCAAACATAATTTCTGCTCTCTGGACAGACTAGGCAAAAAACTCTTAATCTGCTCTTTAAACCAAAAGTTAACCTTCACTGTTTACAATGATTGGAGGTATCCAATCTTTAACAGCTCCAAAAAGTATTATAGAAAATTACACACATTATAAAAAGTGCAAGGAAATTGGAGCATTGATCCAGGACAATCAAAAATTGTAGCAGCTTCCAATCTCAAGTTCTTATGCAAAATTATCGAAGAAAACTAACTAGCATTACTTACAGAATTTGTTACATGTTTATGACAAAAAATATGTAAAAATTATGTTATTTTACTAAAAATATATGATATTGGAATAATAACTGTGTAATAGTAAGTGCACACAGACAACCAAGCCCAAATTATTCTCATGATCAAGTCCTAATCTTGCCTTATCATTTAATCATTGTTAAATAAATAATCTGAATTACTTTAATGTAAACATTCTTAAAAAATAAATTTTGCCAGAAAATAAGAAGTCTTTAATTTAAATTGCATTGTTAATTATACTTGCTTATTTTTTTGTAGAAAGTTAATCTTATATTGGGATTTGTGAAAATCTAAAAATTTCTTACACTGAAAATTCTTATTTATACTAACTAAATATGTTAACAGCTAAACTAAATATGTCATTAGACAAAAATATTTCTTATGCTAATAACATCATTATCAGTTTAACTGTCTTATATAACAGAATTAACAACTTTTTACATTTAACCCAATCATGAAATACAGTCAAGCTTTCATATGTGCATGTAGGCATGGATGGTTTTTATTTTCCATTAATTATTTTTAAAATGTGAGTGACAAAAACATATCATGCTTTCTAAATATAACTTATTTGCATTTTCTATTGAAAATGTTGACTTTTATGTATTTTCTTGAATTATTCACTTGCACAAATATCTCAAGCTCTTCTTACTTTTCTGTTAGTCATAATTAACAATGATTTCCTGCAATCCTTTTTTGTCATCAGCACATTATATCTTGTTTTTGTTGATAAACACAACTTGTAGTGAAGTTTCTACAAATATACCCAAGAAGTCGCTTTAATAACTTATTTCATTCTATTCAATCACAAATTCTGTAAGTAATGCTAGCCTGTATTCTTTGATACTTTTGCATAAGAACTGAGATTGGAAGCTGCTACAATTTTTGATTGTCCTGGATCAATGCTTCCAGTTTCCTTGTACTTTTTATAAAATAAACTTGCTTTGCCAATTTTTAGTTCTGCAGCAATTTGATACTAAGAAAACTATACTAAGAGCTCTTCATGAAAGTTTACAATTATTTCTGTAATATCACAGCTTATTGCTTTACTAGAAGAGGTTTGTTTTACCAATTTACATTAAATGAATATTGTATTTATGTGTAACAAGCAAATTATAAGAAAATTGTATCAAATAATGTTTAAATAAGTAGAAATATTTAAGCTAACCAGCTGTTTGACACAGTTTTGTCAACAAAATCCTGGCCAGGTCATATGAATGCCTGCCATGGAGTGCCTTTTGCACCCACAATTGCTTAATGATGTTTATTATTATTATTGAAAAAACGAAAAATTTAAAACAATAAAAATGAGTAAAATCTAATGATTTAGCTCATCATATACAATTTTTAAATAATAGATAGAAAATTATTCCTGAAACAATGCATGCAATAATATAAAATTCATAAAATATTTTAAAAATTGTTTCAATATTTGTCAAAATTCCTTCCTTCTTATCTTTCATTGAATAAATATACACACACTTTTATATATAAAATACGTAAACTATGCTATTAGAAATGTTATAAGGATTGGCTATTTTATATAAATGTTCAGCATCATTGATAAGGATGGAGCAACGTAGAGAGACGAGGTCAAACTGAGGTCAACAACTTGATAGAATGGGTTTTTTTTTTCTTTCTTTCTTTACGCAGGATGTAAATCTTAATCCTGATTTCAACATGTGGATGTTGCTAGTACTTAAGTGACCTTCTAGGAATCAGCAGTGCATCTATAGGAGAAAGAAAAGGCCATATATTCTCATTACAATCCACTTTCACATTCTCAGTTTAGTTGTATGCTATCAAAATCGAGAATGTGAAGAGTACTAAAACACATACCTTTACTCGAAAGTTATTTTTCTTTTTTCTAGTATTAAATGATGCGAGAAAACACTTTGTATTTTTTATAAAATGACAAAATCACTGTTTAAATTATTTAAAAATAACACACACACACACACACACACACAGACA